ATGATAGTGTGTCCTATAGACATCCAACAAGAGGGATCTTACTGGATAGATGGTCCTGCTGCTGTGGCTGAAATGCGTCACCATATTAGCATTCAGGTCGCTCTTGCCATGGGCTGTTCCCAGCCAGTGACTGAGCACAGCAGGGACTCTATGGTAGACCCATTCCTGGAGACACTGAAGTCCTCTGATGGCTGACTGTGGCTCAAAGCCTTGCTGAGCCTTCCTTAGAATGCTAGGTGGTCTGGAATATTCCCACTCAACCTTCCTTCCTTCCCTGTCTCCTTCACATGGGGCCTGGCTTGTACTGGGGTCTGATTGCTCTCCCAGCTTTCCCTGTCTCACTCCTCATTTTCTCTCACAGCCACTTTCCCTAAAAAAATATTTGCACATTTAATCACATCTTGGCACCTTCTTCTCAAAAGGGTGGGACTAACACAACAATGTTGCTTGAGCTGCAAATCTGGCCTTTATAATGTTGAACCAGCATTTCTTCTGTATCAAATGTGTTTTGCATAGGAATCAAGAACTCTCAAATGACATCATCCTGTAATATACATAGGAATTAAAGCAGTTTAATAAGTCCAAACCAGAAAGAATACAATACATTTTACTCACAACAGTGTGTGTATGATACTAACCACTGTCAGATACCTCTACTGTTAAGTTGTACTGAGGAGTATCTTGCTTCTTCAAGGACTGCTGAACCAACTGGAACACTCCCTCATAGTTTTTAACCAGGAAGAGATTATCTTTGGGAATCTGGGGGATTTGTTCCACAATTCTGTACTGTAAAGCACTGTTGGAAGTGCCTTCTTTATCCATGTCATGGGCAATAAAAGTCCCAATATTGCTACCTGTGAAGAGGGTAAAGAAGAAAATAAGAAAATCCATCCATTACAGGGTCTAATTAATCTACTAAAAATGGTTTCACTGGGTAAGTAGATTTCTAAAAAATACTGTAAGTAACTTCGGGTAGAAGACCAAGGTCCTTAAATTTATCTTGGTTTTTCTAATCCTTTCCACGTCACATCATGTGGTTAAATAAGGAGAAACCAACCTCTTAAGGTTACTTCTGTGCAACTTTGAGGAACAATCACTGACTGACTGACTCCACCCGAAAGATAACATGGGGGCAAAGAACAGGTGTGCTTCCTCTCTGCCATGCTGTCATTTATGGTGCTAAGTATTTTATTCCTGTGAGTGTCCCAGTCCAGGGAGTTCCAAGAGAAGTCAGTGGCTATGACTCAGTGCTCCACCCAGCTCTGGGTGAGCTTCAGAATGTTCTGGATCATCTTGCTCTGTGAAATGGGAATTGTGAGTCTCTTTATAAGAGTCCTATCTTGGAGCTAAAAGTTGAATACATCGTATTTGTGGAGTTAGGTTATCCCTCCTCATATATATTTGCATCTACTTATTCATATAAAAATTAAGAGTTTTTTGGGCTTTGTGGAGAGAGGGGATGATATGTCTATAATGGAACTGAATACATACAGATGTGCATCATGGCCTGGGAGCCATTATGAGCAATAGGAACAGAGAAGAGTGCAATGGCAGCTGCTATTTCTGAACCCACTGTGATCAAGTTACTTTTGTGGTATGTATGTGCCCTTGTGATAAAAAATATCTGTATGGGGGAATGAAAGAAGCTCTGGTGGTGTAGTGGTTAAGGTATGTGGCTGCTAAGCAAAAGGTTGGCAGTTCAAGCCCGCCAGCTGCTTCATGGGAGAAAAGTGAGGCAGACTGCTTCCATAAAGATTTACAGCCTTGGAAATTCTATGGGTCAGTTCTACTCTGCCCTATGGAATTGCTATGAGTCAGAATGGACTCATTGGCAGTGGGTTTGGTTTTGGGATTTAGGGAGATGAAAGAGTACCTTACTGAATTCTATGATCTTTTGCTATCCGAGCAGCCCTGCTTTGGACTCCCCCACTCCCCAAGTTAAGTGAGTATAACACAGAGGACACTGTCTTCCTCTCACTCCACGGGAAGCTTCTAGCCATGAGAGGCACCATGAAGACTGTTGACTTCATTGGCTAGGGATATTCTGGTTAGTGATACCCCTTGGTAGGGCCAGAAGACTTTGTGGATCAGTCATGCCAGAAGTGCCAGGAGTACTATGTCTCTGAGTGACAGAGGTCAGGAACAAGTGGTAGCCCAAATTGATTCAGGGATATATATAGCAGCTGTTGGGTTTACCCAGAAATACTTTAGGGAGGTGGGGCTTTTACAAGAGGCTCAATTTCCCATTGAATATGTAGGACTTAGTAACAATGGAATACAAAAATTAATGTGTGTATTGCTGAGACCTGGAGACACGGATTCTATAAGATTCTAATATAAAACACCAAAACAAGAGAATGTCAATATACTGA